GTAGTGACCATGCGCCAAGGAAAGACCATCCTGGGCACTGTCAAACATATAGCCTACATATGTTGCTGGACTTTTTGACAATCACTCATGATATACTTTAGAAACAGGAGAAAAGGTGGATATATAGATGGTTTAATAATCATAATCCAAAGAATAATGGTTGGTAGATTCATGTCAAACTTGAGGGAGACACATCTACTTGGTCTATTCTTGGTTTGGTCCTACAAAACATTTTAAATTGATAAGTTGAAGAAATGGGAGCAAATTTATAAATTTCCAGGTGACACAAAGCTGGGAAAGAGAGTTAATATGCAGAATTAAATAGTTCATTCAACAAATACTGATTGAGTGACTTTATGGGTAAGATGTTAAAGTGAATATAAAAATTAATCAAGACACCATTCTTCCTCGGTTCCATTTTCAACTGGCAATATAAAAATATGTACAAATAAACATAGAACATGGTATGAAGTGATAATTTCCATAAAGAATATAGATAAAGTAGTTGGATAGGTCAATGAAGGGAGAGAATACTTCTAGCTTTATGTGTTGGTGGATTCAGAATCTGGAATGATATAATGGAAGCATTCATAGAAACATGTTAGATGAGTAAAATTTGTACATCTAATAATCAAGAGAAAAAGGATCTAAAGTCCGAGGTAGAAAAGCATGGGGTTTATTTAGGGGAAGGTTTGTGGTTTTGTCTGACTGAAGAGTGAAATTCAGGACAAGGAACAGTAGAAAATAAAAGCTGGGTAATAAGATTCTGGGATACAGGTTGGCACAATAAACTAAAAATAATAAAATTAAATTTAACTTGGATGAACTTCCAGTTATAGGATGACAGTGTAAAGATATTGCTACTCCCTTTCTTCTTGAAAATCACCCCCAAACAACTTAAAATAGAACAAAACCCCCAACTTTAATGACTGAGTCACATATAAACTACAATATATAAAAATTAAAAACGGAAGAATGATTGATGACAGCATAGCAAAGTTAGGCCAAGTCCATGTGCCTGAAGAGGGAGACACCACAAAGAAGCACTTCCAGGACCCTAGAAATACTTAGGAAATAGAAACACTCATACCAAATGCAGGAGGGAGGCAAAGGTCTGAAAACAGGAAAATTTGGCTAAAATCAGGAAAAGTCTGAGGCGGAAGAAACTGAACCCCTCTGCTGTGGTTTGAATATCCCCCCAAACTCATGTTGAACTTAATCCCCAATATGGTATTTGAAAAGTGGCACGCCTTTAGGAGGTGACTCTATCATGAGGACTGGGCTGTCATGAATGGATTAATCGATGAATGGAATAATAAGTTAATGTTTAAAGGTTTATCAGGGAATGAACTTGGTGCTTTATAAAGAGAGCAAGTAAGCACATTAGGCAAAAGGAGTACTAATACTAAAGAAGAACAGTTTCGTTTTGCTGTCCATGGCATTATTTTCCACCAAATTAATTTAAAAGCGAATAGTCTCCAACAACCAGAAAGAGTAGATTGGCTCAGACCTTGTTATGTGATACCATGTGTTGCCATTGGATTCTATACAGAGTCCCCACCAAGAAGAAGGCCCTCACCAGATGTGCCCCCTGGACCCTGGGCTTCTTGGCCTCCAAAACTGTAAGAAATAAATTTAATTTCTTTATAAATTACCCAGTTTCAGGTATTCTGTTATAAGCAAAAGAAAACGGACTAATACACCCTGCTTCTATACTCAGTAACATCAAGCAAAAAGGATGAGCTGGAGTTAAGTGCCAGGTACTGCTAGACAGTTAGAGGTTAGAGTTTTTTGTTTTTGTTTTTTCATATAAAACTAATAAATATTTAATTTCTTAAGTGTTTTTAAATAAAATTTTTAAATGATGTTAATATATAGCTTAAAATCTTTTAAAGCAGTTCTTTTTTTTTTTTATTCCTTTTTGTCTTTTCTTACTGACCGGTAACGGGATCACAACCCTCGGTGTCGCGCCCGCACCGGGGACCGGCAACGGGATTGCAACCCTCAGTGTTGCGCCTGCACCGCGCTCAGCCAGTGAGTGGGAACCGGTCTCCACATGCACCGCCACACTCCCAAGCGGCGCACTCTCCAGTGCGCCACCGGGCCGGCCCTAAAGCAGTTCTTAGTAAGAGTTTTTTTTTTTCAAAATACATATGTTCTAGCTCCATGTCCCAACTCTAGACTTCCTAATTTTGTAGGGTGGGGCCCAGGAACTTATACTTTGGAAGTTTCTCATTCTGGAAACTACTGAGCTAGTGTGAAAAAGAAGTCTATCACCAAAACCTATCAAAAGGTAAAATGGCATAGAGAAAAACACAGGCATTGTCATTCATAGGTAAATACCATGAGCCAGGTAGTGTTCTAGGAACGAGGAATAGTGTAGTACACAAAAAATTCCCTGTCCTCATGGAGTTTATAGTCTGGCAGAGGGAGAAACATAAAGTAAATATGTAATATATGTAGTATGTTGGAAGTTGATATGAAGAAAAGTACATCAGGGAAGGGGTAAAGGGAATTGGGTTAGAGGACACAAATTTAAAATACGGTGGTCAAGGAAGGCCTTACTTGTGGAATATACCAATATTTATAAAGCAAATGTATTTCACAGGGCCATGCAGTTTCAGGTTTAGCCCAACTTCTTAAAAGTACATATAGAAATGTTGACCTTGCAAAAGACAGGAAACTTTCCTCAAGCTAGGGTTGCTGATGTGGATGAAGAGTTGTGGCACAGCAAGGTTGCTGGCTCAAGGACAGACAAGTTACTAATTGATATGTAAAGATACTGGGAAATTGCTGTAGGGACAGAGAATGTTTGCTAAGATCAAGCCTTTGTTGGTTGATCAACATAACCTTTTGCAAATTGTATTATGGAATGTCACCTTGCTTGTTTCACTGAATATTACCAGCCTCTACTGTTAAACTATAATTGGCCAAAACCCCACCTATGTTCTTTTTCTGTAACTTCCTGGTCTGGAAAATAAATGTGGGGAGAGAACCCCAATTCATGGTTAATTTCCCAAGGAAAGAATGCCTTGCTCTTGAGGGTTGCAGGAGATTAACCCTTTCAGGGTCTCTCACTGCTTGGAAGAGATGGGCTCTGAGTAATCCTTTTGTGGCTCCGTCACCCAGGGTAAGAAAGGTGATAAATCCGTGTGAGACAAAGCAACACTTACTTAGAAGATTTGAATAAAGATTTGAAGGAAGTGAGGGAGCAAACCATGAAGATATCTAGGGAAAAGTGTTTCAGGCAGATAGAAGAGCTAATACAAGGGCCCCAAGACAGGAGAACTGTCTATATACATTTATTCAAGAAACATCAATGAGGCAGAGTTGAGTGAGAACATGAGGACAGGGGAACTCTGCATATTTACTCAAGAAACATCAAGGAGGCCAAGTAGAGCTAGAGCAGAGTGAATGAGGGATATGAGATCAGAAAGGTAACAAGGTAGCTAAATTGTATAGGATCTCATAGGCTTGTGAAGGACTTTAGCTTTTACTCCTAGTGAGATGTTAAGCCATAGAATTAGAAAAATGACTATTTAAAGTTATATGTGTGTGTGTATACATATAAACAATAAAAAATGACTCCGAAAAGCAATGGAACTTATTTAAGTAGTTAACAAAAATTAGGTTCCCAAGTGTCATCTGGGAACCTTAGCTGGCTAAATAAATCTAGATAATACCTAATATAGTACCTTAAAGTAAGTATTTAATAAATATTTGTGGAATAAATGAACAGTGGATTTCTATAGGAAAAAGAGTATTTGAAGTTCTTGTAAAATCATAGCAATGTATCAAGAATATAAGTTATCCTAAGATACAGTTTTTCATAAAAGATTTCAGGGTATTCTTAACAGATATGAAGTAGATTTTCCTATTTTATATAGGTTAGGGAAGAGGACATTAACATAAAAAGGCTTTGAGAGTCATTTTGAAGCTTCTCCTCTTTCATCAGAAAGAGTGAAACACACATTTTTTAACAGTCTATGTTTCAAGCTTAAGCTTTCCTGGATTCTAACTTTAAAAATGCATTTATCATGATTCATACTCAAACTGGCTCTGCTTTATTCTTACTAATTAAAAAACTTCGTATATTTTCATCCCAAAGCCTAGTTTATTTTTTTCTAAAGCCTAGATAGAGCCCAGGGTATTGACCATCAATGAGGAATTCTGAAAGTGACAAATCTACTTCTAATAGCTAGGGAAAGCTTTCCCCCCACTATCACCACCGTAGCTTCTAATTGACTCAATCTAGTCTCTCCGGTTGTCAGAGAATATTTGCTTTAAAATTATTTTGGTGATAAACAATGGCATGGACAGCAAAACAAAACTGTTCTTCAGTATTAGTATGTCTTTGCCTGATAATAGAATTTTACAGAATCATTAATTTTTTGATTAACAGAAAAATGATGGATATCTACCTCCTACAACCACTGCAGTAGGACTCTCTACATGAATGAAAAGTAATTAACTTCTGCTGTTATCGACAACTGCAAATATTTTTGGTATCATGCCATGTTATGATTTCTTGGAAAAAATATAAATTCTGAAGTCATATAATATTAAAAGCATCACCTTTCATGGCCGAGAGATCACTGATAGATGAACATCAGCATAAAAATATATTTAAAAAAATTATTTGTGCTACCATATGGAAATTAAGCTAAAGTCATATGATTTACCAAATAAATTATCTACTTTCATTCGTTTCTGATATATCCAAGATTTGCATTGATAACTTTGTGTAAAGCAAAAAATTTACATGAATCTATATTAAACTGTTAATTTGAAGTATGTGATCAATTTTAACTACAAAGATTTTATTTCTGGTTACTTTTTTATCAGGGTATTAATTAAAATAGGAAAGAAGTAAGAGAATAGAAAACTTGGTCACTCGGTTTAGCAGTTTTCTCAGATTGAAAAAAATAACAACAAAACCTCCAGGGTTAAGAATTTCAAATGAGGCTGCTAGACAGAGAAAACAGACCAAATTAGCTTACCACTTGAACCATTTTGAGATATCTGGCATATCTTGGATCCTTGGCTACAGTTAAGATATTTTCTGCTGATACTTCACTTTCCTGTGGTCCAGAGTCTTGTGTACTGTTCTGCTGTAGAGAGTATGCATGTAAATCTTTAGGCAATTCACAAAAGGGGTCTATCATGTTACTTAAAAGGGATGTTTCTTTCTATAATTTTAAGGCAATAAATATCACTAAAAATCATATTTCTAAATTTAAATACCAATAATTTAATTATGGAATATATTTTCTAAATATCTACAGATACTTAAATATGACTTCAGAGGAAGCTACACTTAATATAAACGCTATAATGTTCCTTAAAATGCAAATATATTCATGGCATTAAGAAATTAAAATTCTGCTTTACTTGTCCTCAGGGTTCTGATATAAAGCATGAAATTATAGGTGGATATATTATCTTAATAAAACTTTTAATAAAGCTAATAAAACTATTTGATTCATCAATTGTTTAATTCTAAAGTGAACTGATTTCCTCAGTACCTACCATCTACCCAATTGAACTCCTTATTTATTAAATCATCTTATTCTAAGTGAACATGGCTCTTCTAACTTTTTAGAAAGCAATGCCTGCAGAATTTGCGGAGAGGCATTTCTCAGACAAAATTATCTGATTGTATACATTTCAGCTTATGGTAACATTGTCCACAGAATGGATAAGATTAAATACTAATTACTACTTACAATGAAGAACACTGAGGAATGGTCTTTTTATATAAAAATGCTTTTGTTATAAAGGCAGTCTTCACTTTGCATAGTGTCATGTTAACTGAAAGTTGTCCATGTTGGAACCTTATTCTTGCTTAAGTGCAAAGCTAGGACTGCCTGTATATGGTACTTGATTTTTCTATCAAACTGAAAATTTAGAATCTAGTTTACTTTTATGAATCCCATTCAATACCTATATATGTGTTAAGAGGAATTTCCTTAACAAAATAAAATCAATTTTATGTCTATATATCTATGCTGAAATGTAGAGAAGTAAATAAAAATCTTCAAATCTTCATATTCTTTAGAATACGAATGTGAATTATATTCTAAGGTTTTCCCTCAGATAATTAAAATATAAATTAAATCTGTCAAAAACTCTGAAGTAAATAAAACATCCAAAATTTTTTAGATTTCTCCTGTTATGTGATACTGTTAAGTGTTACAAAAGTGAGCAGATACATATATGTAACATAAATAAATACAGGGAGTCCAAAACTGTTAATTAAATAAAAAGTTCTAACAAGATCCAAATATTTTTTTAAAAATTTATGGACAATAGGGCCGGCCCGGTGGTGCACTGGATAGTGCGCCGCTTGGGAAGTGCGGCGGTGCTCCCGC